GGGGGGGGGGGGGGGGGGGGGGGGGGGGGGGGGGGGGGGGGGCGCACAAATAACGCGGAGGAAATATCGCCAACGGAGCGAGACGCGAACGAGAGACACAACGCAGCAGGAGCGAGAGACGGCGGCGGAGGGAAGCGTGCGACAGACCGACATGCATCCCAGTTGCATAGCGACTACAGCAGCAGCAGCAGCAGCAGCAGCAGCAGGTGCAGTCGGGGCGCCGGGGGTAGTCGCTGGAGGCCGGCAAACCAACAAGCGTCGAACCAAGGAGAAAAAGACCACCATACGGAAGTCGTGCGACTTCTGCAATGGGAGGAAAAAGAGATGTGATGGCGACGGCGTCAATCGGTGCAGGTGTGCTGCACGTACACGTGTGTTTGCGAGGCAGCGCCACTGTTTTAATTCCGGTCTGGTTGACCTGTCTGTATGTCAAGTTTTGCTGCAACGGACAACGCTCTCTCTGTTCATCCCGATGACTGGTGTAAACGGGGCATCTACTGGTACAAGCTTAGCCTCCGGTTTGCATTACACAATCACGCAGCAAAACCTTTGCCAAGCCGACGGCTTTGGACGGAACACTTTTTCCTCATGGCGTTCGCAGCAGGGAACATGCACGACGGCATGTGGGGTTGGTCTTTCCAAGCTCGCGATCAAGTAGATTATTCGTAAACGTGTCGCGTGCATCCAAGATCATAAGGCATGTTTTTCGTGCACTCTTTTTTTCGTTTGCGCCTTGTGTCATGTTCGCGCATCAAACCTGCTGTCTAAGCTACCTAGCTCCCGTGATGGCCATCCTGTCTTTGTCCCTTCTGCAGCTACTGCATCATCAAGAAAAACCCCCACTGCATTTACAGCCCGCGGCGGCCCCAGAAGCCGCGGGCGCGCAAGGCGCCAGCTGCGCCTGCACCCACGACTTCTTCGACCACCACCACCATCATCGCCCCAACAACAAGCCGAGGGGGAGCAGGAGGAGCAGGGGCGGGAGGGGGTCTGCTTGTGGAGGCCCTGCTTCGACCATCCTTGAAGAGGTGAGTGCATTGCAAACAAGATTGTCATGATCCTCAGCTGCGCTCGTGGTGTTGCACGTACACCCCCCCGCCGCTCCGCCGCGTGTCTCCCCAAAACAACAGGGTAGGGTCGTACAACAATCCACCCGACCCCAGGCTTGTCTCCATGTCTGCAGTAGTTGGCGGTGTTTCTTTTCTCTGTACTTGCACGGTGAACGCGTCTGTCCACAGCATTCATTCCGTGCGAAATTCCGCCATCGTATTGTATTTCTTCCGGTGGAGAGTCAACAAGAAGCAGGATTTTTTTTCTTTCTGTTCGTTGTCGTTATGTCGTTATCGTTTGGCAATCTCCGAAAAGGGGTGTCAATGCGTACGTCGGAAGGTACTCTAGTAACAACTTTGTTACGATCTGTCGAGGGGGAAATCGCACGTCTATATATACATCGAGTGGAGTGTGAGGCGGATCACGGGGATGTTTCTTTTGCGAAACTTAACCTACAGCAGTATCGATGCGCTTCTTGACGTGAAGAAGGACGAAGCGGGGTTGAAATTTGATAACTCACCGCGTCGCTAGCAAGGGAAGGCTTGTTCGCATTCTGAAAGAGTTGCTTGTGATTGGTCAGCCACTGCCGCCGCCGCCGCCTCTGGGCTTAAAATTTCCGTCTCACTGGATGGGTACGCGGGTATGCATCTCGGAATACGATTGAGCACTGAATGGCTTGCCCTGCACCACCTGCGGCGTGCTGTGTATGGCATCCAAGAAGAGCAACGTTAAAGTTGTCCTGCCAATAACGCAAGAACCGTTCCGGAGCCGGGGGGACAAATGGTTGGATCCTCAGAACGTTCTGTGTTCCGTGCATCTCCCTCTGCGTGTCGAGTCAGTCAGCACTACTGTAGTCACCTGTTGCGGACTGACAATAATCTTTTGCGCTGCTGTAATGGACGGGAGGAGGGCAAGTTTTAGGGTGGAAACAAACGCCCTGCACCCCTGCCGCAGCGCTACCTTGCTCTCTCTGCATGGCAACGCTGGCAGCGCATCGGAGGGGTGCTCACAACTTAGTCGAACGCACTTGTAAACGGGAATCTTCCTGTGGAAACGTCTTGGATACACCCTCCACAAGCAGTTGCAGTATATTCATCGCCCGAGGCACAGCCGGGCGGGGGTCAGGCAGCATGGACGAAGAGAAATATACCCCGATGGAAACAACTGTTCTTTTCGAAGCCACTGATACCTGGTTCGAACCCGGCCTGCTGCTGTACAAGTGTGTGCGCCGTTCCAAACCTGATGATTGCTCTACAGTCGAGGGACCCTTTTAGTGTCGGTTGAATAGTGCCAGATGCCCGGTATAGTGCCGGTAAAATCTCTGCACACAGGCGGAGCTCTCAATAGTGCCAGACCGGCACTAATTAAAGCATGCCCGATATAGTGCCGGTTCGGCACTGCTGTCACCCCCAATAGTGCCGGTACTCCGCACGCGCGAAACACACACACGCACAACCCAGGGCAGAAAACATAGACTCCACACACAGAAATAGGGTACACGTGCTGCTGCAGACCCGAACAGCTCTACACAGGGGCGTACCATGCCCTGTGCGGAAGGTGAACTGTGCCAACTACAGGACACCACGCCGCAAGACCCTCATGGTCACGGCTGCCAGGGAGGATGTGGCGGGCGACTGCACGGCATTTGCGGCAGTGTGGTTGATGTAGGCAACGAGAATCACCGCATCTGCAGCGCGTGCGTCGCCAAAGCCGGCAAGCGCAAAGTGTCAGCAGCAGACAGCACTGGGAAGGCACAATCTAAACGTCC